CCCCACCTACCTCCCCCAGCCTCCCAGCCCCCACCTACCGCCCCCATCCACCCCCTGCCCCCCAGCCCCCACCTACCGCCCCCATAGCCCCCCTGCCCCCCAGTCCCTACCTACTGGCCCTCATCCACCCTCTGCCCGCCAGCCCCCACATACCTGCCCCCCTATCCACCCCCTTCCCCCCAACCCCCACCTACCTACTACCCCCATCCACCCCCTGCCCCCCAGCCCGCACCTACCGCCCCCCCATCCACCCCCTGCCCCCCAGCCCCCACTTAAGGCCCCCATTCACCGCCCCTCCCACCTCCCACCTACCGCCCACCAGCCCCCCCAGCCATCCCCTGCCCGCCCCTCAAACCAGCCCCCGCCCACCCCCCACGCCCACCTCTCGCATGTCCACATGGAGCCTGGAATCACCTGCACACGTGTCTGGGTTTTGCTTGCATGGCTAACGCAACCGGCCCAGCGCGGGCAGGGGGCGTGGGGGGCAGGGCCCAGCGCCGGCAGGTGGCGTGTCAGGGCCATGTGGGCAGCAGAGTTTGGAGCTGTGTGGGGCACATGGGGCAGGCCCTGCCGGGGATGGGGGTGGAGCTGCGCCCCCCCCCAGTTCAGGGCCCCCTTCGGTGTCGCCCCCAGGAGACGCTGTCGGACATGCTGGAGAGCTCCCCGCTGGGCGTGCACCTGCCCTTCGTGGGCTTCTCCTACACCAGCACCAGCCTCAAGTAAGGGGGTGCTCGGGGTATGGGAGAGGGGGACATGGGGCCTGTCCCCAATGGGGTTGTGTGTGGGGGCACGGGGCCTCCCTCTGGCCCAGCTCGCAGGGTCCGTGCACAGGCAGCCTGCTCAGGGGCTGGGCCTGGTCTGGGGAGAAATGGGGGGTTCCCCTTCCTGGGGCAAGGGGCAAGGGGAGCCCTGGTGGGGGGCTGAGGACTGGTTGTGGGGGAGCCCTGGTGGGGGCTGTGGGCGGGCAGAGCATGGGTTTGCTTGTCAGGGTGGGGGGGTGCAGGAAACCCTGATGGGGCTGGGGTGGGGGCACAGGAGGCTGGCAGGGATGGGGGTGGGGGAGCCTGGGGCTTGCCTGGCAGGACAGGGTAGGTGCTGGAGGGAGGGGCTGCCTGTGGGGGGGCGCATGGGGTTGGGGGTGGGGGTGCCCCTGGCAGGGCTGGGGGTACTGAGGTGCTGGCCGTGGGGGGGCCTATTGGGTTTGGGGGCTGGGGCCGGCTGGGGGCTGCCGGGGGGGCAGCTGTGGGGGAGTGCAGTGGGGTTGGGGCTGGGGCCAGCCCTGGAGGGGGTGCTGTGGGGTTGGGGGCTGGGGCCGGCCCTGGAGGGGGTGCTGTGGGGTTGGGGCTGGGGCCGGCCCTGGGGGCGGGTGCAGTGGGATTGGGGGCTGGGGCCGGCCCTGGAGGGGGGTGCTGTGGGGTTGGGGGCTGGGGCCGGCCCTGGGGGGCGGGTGCAGTGGGATTGGGGGCTGGGGCTGGCCCTGGGGCTCCAGGCGGGGCCGTGAGATTCTCCCTCCTCTCAGACAGAATGAGCCTGGGGACAGGGGCCGGGAAATCGCCATGGAGCTGGATTGCGACCGGGGCCCCCCCCTGCAGGAGCAGCCCCCCAACCTGCCCTCCGGAGACCTGGTAAGTGGCTGCACTTGGGGGGCCCAGTTGACTTCCTGCTGTGGGGTCCCAACCCACAGCCCCCTCCTAGCTCTGCTAGTGTCCCGCAGTGGCCGATTTAGAGGTTGTGGGGCCCTGGCGTCAGCTTCATTTTTGGGGCCCCCCCTTGGGACCCAGCCAAGAAAAAGACCATTCTCTCTGACCTCCCCCACCCCCGGTTCTCATTCTTTTTTCCTTCATCCTCCTCCTGTAAGTAACAGCAAGTCAATGAAAATAAAGTGAGGTACCTTGATTGGTTTTCTAGTCTAACTTATTTTTCCACAGACCACTTGAAAATCGCTGGGGGTCTCGGCGAACCACGTAATGATCTTTCCAAATATGGTTTGTGCCATTAGCTAACTAGTGTAAAGTGCTTTGGATAAGAGCCCTTTATAAAACATTGGGGTGCAGGGTCTGGCCAGGAGTTAGGGTGTGGGAGGGGGCTCGGGGTTGGGGGTGCAGGGGCTGGGAGGGAGTTAGGATGTGGGAGGGGGCTGGGGGTGCAGGGTCTGGTCAGGAGTTAGGGTGTGGGAGGGGGCTCGGGGCTGGGGGTGCAGGGGCTGGGAGGGAGTTAGGATGTGGGAGGGGGCTCGGGGCTGGGGGTGCAGGGGCTGGGAGGGAGTTAGGATGCGGGAGGGGCTCGGGGCTGGGGGTGCAGGGACTGGCCAGGAGATAGGGTGCGGGAGGAGGCTCGGGGCTGGGAGGGAGTTAGGGTGCAGGAGCATGCTGGGGGTTGGGGTGCAGGGTCTGGCCACGAGTTAGGGTGTGGGAGGGGGCTGGGGGTGCAGGGTCTGGGAGGGAGTTAGGGTGTGGGAGGGGGCTCGGGGCTGGGAGTGCAGGGGCTGGGAGGGTGCAGGAGTCAGGGCAGAGGGCTGGGGGTGTGGGCTGGGATCGTGGGGGTGCTCCTAGCCCTCCACCCTGCCCCTCCCCCTGCCCCGAGAGCAGGCCAGGCTGGGGCCCCTTTGGGGCCGGGACCTGGCACCATGGCACCATTGGAAAGCCAGTCCTGGTTCATGGGAAGGCGCAGAAAAGAGCACGGGGCTGCGGCAGAGCGCGGGCAGAGGCTTTCTTTGCCCTGTTTTGCTGTAAGAGTGAACAGGGAGAGATTGCTAGTCACCGGTCAGTGGGTGGGGTTATGCAGATTAGGAGCGTACAGGGAAACCAGCGAGAGGCCGGCGCCTGCAAGACTTCTCTGTCTTTGAACAGAATTGTGTTTTCAGGGTTCTTGCTTTGAATCCTGCCACTGGAGTCATGTCGGGGAAGTGATCCTCAGTTGTGGTGTTTGGTGCGTGGCTGGGAGCTGGTCACGGCGAGGTAGAGAGCATTGGGGGCAGGGGTGGGCGCGCACTGCAGGGTCAAGTGCCCTCTTCCTGGTTCTCCAAGCTCTGGTTAAGTGTAGGTAGTCTCTTGGTCTATCCAAGGCCGTGATCAAGTGTCTTGATGTTTTTGGTCTTTTGGCCTCGAGATGAAAACCTTGCCTTTGTTTCTGGGACCTTGAAGTGAAAAAAATTCTCTAAGTTATATCTACTGACTTCCTAAAAATTCTTGCTTTTCTGTGTGGGACTTTGCTGGTTATGTGATGTGTATGTATCTTTTCACCCTTGCAAATTTCTCATCACTCAAACTTCACCCCAGATAGTCAATACCTTCCCTCTTCACTTGTGTCTATTTAATTTTCAACATTAACTTTAATAAGATTTTTAAATCTGTTCTTTCACCTTAATCTCTTATGTCCTTTCTGTGCGGAGTGTATATTACACCAATTTTTGGAGCAGGGGGTGGGTGAGGCGCTCGCTCCATCCACTCCCCGCATTGACCTGGTATTGCAGTGCCTCTGGAAACGTGCCTCAAAATAGTTGAAAAATGTGACGTCTGAAGCACTTTGGTTTCTTGATTGTTACAATTTCTTGGGGGCGTTTTGTGAGTCTATAGACGTGAGGTTCTTTGTCTTGCTAGTGGTTCTCAAACTTTTGTACTGGTGACCCCTTTCACCCAGCAATCCTCTGCGTGCCACCCCCCCTTATAAATTAAAAACACTTTTTAAAATATATTTAACACCATTATAAAAACTGGAGGCAAAGCGGGGTTGGGGGTGGAGGCTGACAGCTCGTGACCCCCCCATGTAATAACCTTGTGACCCCCTGTGACGAACTGGGACTGTTCTTACTGTGGTCTGTGAATGCTGACAGGGGAGTGTGGCTAGGATAGTCTGCATTGCGGGATGGGAGTCTGCCCGAAGGCGAATACCTGAGCATGTAACATGAGAACCCAGGAAGGGGTTGGAGGCCAGGTGACACCTTGGCCCGGGAAACTGAACAAAGGCTGTGGGAGGGGTCGCTGAAGGGAGAGTGTTGGAAGCGGGCTGGTGAGATGGCTGGGAGGCAGAGATTGCTCTGACCTCCCAAGGTGGGCTGGGATGCCCTGGGACCCCAAGATGGACCTAACTGAGGGGGGCCCCTGTTGTCTGTGCCTGCAAGACCTGTCTTGGACTGTATTCCTGTCATCCAAATAAACCTTCTGCTTTACTGGCTGGCTGAGAGTCATGGTGAATCGCAGGAAGCCGGGGGTGCAGGGCCCTGAGTCCCCCAATACTCCGTGACACCCCCTGAGGGGTCTTGCCCCCCAGTTTGAGAAGCTGGGATCCTTCTTTCTGCTGTCTTTTCCACAGTCTGAGGGACGAATGCTTTCCAGACTGCGGGGCTGTTGGGGAGATGGTTGGTTGGGGGTTTTTTTGGAGGGGGGGTTGGTAATAGTTGAGGTCACTCGCGTATCAACAACTGCATGAGTTCCATAGACTTCTCCCCACCCAGCCGACGGTCCATGTATCTGGGTTTGTAAGATCAAGACAAGGCACTAGGTGGCGTGCCGCCCCCGGCACACGGGTCCCAATCCTGATTGTTTCCCCCCCAAAACCTACTGTAATATAAATGCTAAATAATCATCCTTAATGGCTCAGTGATGCCACCCTCCCCACTGGAAAATCATGAGTCAGACCCCCCGAAATCACGAGATTGGCTTTAAAATCATGAGGATTCTTTTAAGAAAAATGTAATGGGCAGTGGGGGGAGGGGCAAGGACCCTGGGGGGGGACCGGGGACATGGGCAGTATGGGGGGGGGACCCCTGGGCAGAGACGGGGGCATGGGCCCAGCCCTGGGCTCCCCTCAGCCCTGCCGGTGCCCCTCACGCCTGACCCACAGGCCCCTTCTAGCCCAGCCCTGGGCAGGGGGTGAGGGCCAGCGGGGGGGGGCGTTACGGCCCCTGATGGAGCTGAACCCGGGAGCGACCAAACACATCTAGCCCCAGGGCCAGTTCTGCCCGGCTGGGTGCCCTGGCCCCATGGCGCCCGGCCAGCCTCGCCCCCCCCCCTCACAGCCGCCCTCTCCCGGCCAGGTCTGCAAGGCGCCCGACGGGCAGAAGCTGGATCTCGCCGCCTTCCTGGAGCTGCAGGCGGCCTTCGAGTCGGAGCTGCACACGCGGGAGGGGCTGCGCCAGGAGCTGAGCATGGTCAAGGTGGCCAACCAGACCTTTGCCAAGTGAGGGGCAGGGAGTTCGGGGGGAGCTGGGGGCATGGGCAGTGAGGGGGGGACTCCTGGGGAGAGCCGGGGGCATGGGCAGGGGGATCAGAGGCCTGGAGCTGCCTGGGGGGGGGGGTTTCCAATGCTGCCCTCCTGAGGTGTGTGGCAGCTCCCCCTGCCAGCCAGCGGTGCCCATGTGAAGGGGGCTGGGGGGAGGGGGCGGGATTTGCTGGTTCTGGGGCTCGGCTCCTCTGATGCGCGCCCCCTCACCCCCCAGCCGCCTGCAGGAGGCCGAGAACCGCAACCTGGAACTGGAAGCTCAGATCAAGCGATTGGAGGCGCAAATCGAGGGGATGAAACCACCCGGGGAGGAAGGCAAGTGCCCCCCTGCCCTTCCCCCTGGCCCGCCCCCCTGCCCCCTCCAGCCTTGCCCCCTCACCCGCCTGCCCCATGCCCCACCCTCCTCTCTGCTGCTGCCTCTGGGCCCTGCCCTGGGCCTCCTACTCCCCTTACCCCCCTGCTCTACCCCCTGCCCCCTACCCCACCTGCCCCCCTGCTCTCCTCTGCCCCCTCTGGGCCCTGCCCCGGGCCTCCTACTCCCCTTACCACCCTGCCCTACCCCCTGCCCCCTCATGCCCTGGCCCCTGCCCTGCCTGCCCACTCTGCCCCCTTGTGCCCTGCCCCCTACGCCCCCTGCCCCATCCCCCTGCATCCCCTGCCCCCTCCAGGCCCTGCCCCAGGACCTCTACCCCCCATTCCCCCACTAACCCGTCCCCTACCCCCCTGCCCTGTCCCACCCCCTACCCGCCCTGCTCTGCCCCTTCCGGGCCCTGCCCTGGGCCTGCCCCCTGAGACCCTTCTCCCTCCTCCCCTCAGGGCCTCTCCCTGTCCACCCCCGTGTCACGCCCCTCGCTCTGCACCCCATTCCCCGTCACTCCCCACTCTGCACCCTCCTCTTGCTCCTAACCCGCCCCCCACTTTCCCCTCAATTCCCCTGCTCCTGCCCCAGCCCCGGGCCGGGGGAAATCAGCCTGTGACAGGCCTCCTGTGCCCACCCTTGTGTGACTGTTAAATGGCTGCCATGTCCCTCCGCAGAGGCGACCACGTCTCCGTGCTGGCTGGGGGACCCCGGTGTAAGCTGCTCGACCTCGGGGAGTTATGCGGGGCTGGGGGTTTCAAGGCTTACGGAAGTGACCAGGGATGGGCAGGACCATAATTAATTTGGCAGGACGGGGGGCAGGGACCGTTCCAGGCTGGTGACGTCCATCTGTCCCGGTGCTAGCCTGGGCTTTGCCCCCTGCAGCCGTGGGGGTTAGCTGGGAATTGGCCCCAGAGCCCCGGGCACGGCCAGGGAAGCCGAGTTCCCACGTGGGGCAGGTTACACACACGCTCCCGACCGGTGCCCTTCCCCAGCCCCCGTGCCTGGCCAGACTGACCAGTTCCTGAGCTGGGGAGCTGACGTGCCACCCCTGGTGCCTGCATGGGTGGGGGCCTCGGTTCACCTAGGGCGAGCCTGCCTGCGGGACAGGACTGTGCATGGCTGGGGCGGGGGCTCTGCATGGCAGGCACCGGGGCTGAGCAGTGGGCACAGCTGGGTGGTGGGGGCCCGTCTGCCCAGGGGAGGGGTGACCCCTGCATGGCTGGCCTCCTCGGGCCACGCACGGTCCCACCTCTCTCTTTTCCTTGCAGCTGCTGTGGGGCGGCCCCCCGGCTGCGCTGCCCCCTGGCCGTGCCGCACGGAGCACCCCGCTGATGTAAGCCTGGCCTGGGGGCACGGTCTGGTGGGGGGAGCGGGGGCTTAGCACCGGGGCTGGTCACCAGGCTACAACCCAACTGTGCCACTCAAGGCCCCACACCAGGGGGGTGTACGTGGTTCTCGTCTGAGGGCAAGTCGGGGAGCTCTGCCCGCTTGTGCCAGGGCTGGGGTGGAGAGCAGGGCCCAGTCCGATTCCCCCTGCCGGGGCAGGTCTGGCAGGTCTGGGAGGAGGTTTGGCCTGGGTCCAGCCCCAGTGCCCCCCTCCCGGCCGGCTCCGCTGATCGGGCATCTCTGCTTTCTCCTTCCAGCAAGGCGGCACCATGGCACCGCGACGCTGTGAATACCCGCTTGTGGTACCTCTGTACCGCCACTTGCTGCTCTTTTCTAGGGTACGTCGGCCCCCGCTGCTCACCCGCCCAGCTCCTCACCCGCCCGGCTCCTCGCCCGCCCTGACCCCACCCAGCTCCTCGCCCGCCCTGACCCCGCCCGGCTGCTCACCCGCCTGGCT